TCAGTTCATGAAGAACGCCTTTTGCAACCATCAGGAAATGTTAGAGGGCTCCAAATGCGGAGACGTCTTCGTGTATCTCGGAAGTTCTATGAACATGGAGAACGATCAGGAAGAACTAAACAGAAGGCGAAGAGCAGCTTGGGCCGCTTTCGGGTCCCTAAAGGAAGCCACAGACCAGCTGACGGACCCAGAGCTCCGAGCCCACCTGTTCGATTCCACCGTTCTCCATGCGCTCTGTCACGCGGCAGAGACGTGCTCTGACACTGTGGCTGCGTCGAAAGCACTCCGAGAAACCCGCAGAGCGTTGGAACGACGTCTTCGAAGTTTAAGAGACGCACCCAACATCTCGTCGGACTTCGCAGTTCGGATATGAGATCAATGTTCCGTCTTCGCGATCCAGCGGAATACGTCTCTAAGGCAAAACCTCGATGGGCTGGTCATATAATGAGAAGGACAGATGACAGATGGACACTAAGAACTCTGGAATGGATCCCTCACAAAGTAAAACCCTCGGGGGAGGCCACCGACCAGATGGGCTGACGTGTTCGTGGCACGGATGAACCAGCTGAATTCTCAGCTAGCAACGAATAATAGGTCTAAACCTCGCTGACGTCGCCGCCGCAATTCAATACCAACATCGTGGATGACGCTAGCGAGAGAGAACGGATGGAAGCAATGCTGTGGCCTACATGACGAGTGAAGACAGGCCATCTAAGTATCTAAGTATCTGAATTGGGAGACAAAATGATGTCCGGAGGAGCTAAAATGATAAAAAGAAGGTCTCTAGTTTTTTCAAACTAAAATAGTTTTTCACTTATTGTTAGTTGTGGTAGCATTTAATAAAATTGCGAAAAAACAGCAGTGACACTATTCAAATTTTAAAAGCAGAGTCGATTGCACAAAAATTTGGAGTGAGTATATCGGCTAAGGATACTGGAGTATTCGAGCTCTTCCATAAATCAGCTTTAAAGCACAAAACAGAAAGTTTCTTCCTCAGCAGGATATGCAAGCAAGTGATTTCATAAGATTATCAAATCTCTTTCAAGTCTTCTTTAGACTACATAATGTGCCGTAATCTTTTACGAAAGCGAAACAATTGTTCTTTGCAATCACTGGATTCTCCGTCTTCCAAGGGTCAATGATGTAGCAACACCAGCATTTTTTACTCGCTTTGTTAAAATTCACACAATAAATACTTGCAAATAGCTTTGCCAATGCTATTTCTATATAATGCAACTTTTTATTGCATACTTCGTTGCTGAGTAGCAGTAAAGTATGTAGTGAAAATCTGCAGTATGGATAAACTTGCAGCGAATGATTTTGCAAAGACGACATAGTTCACCTCTTATTTTTTTCCTCAACGGAATATACTAGTAATTTGCTTGTTGACGCCAAATCACTTAAATGACTGTCTATGTCACATAACATTGACTATTCCTAATCTCACGTCACTCTGCGATAAGAAGATATTTCAAGCAACTTTTGGGCGAACTTACCATAGACAGAAACCAAACCAGCACAGGCACCAAAAATACCAACAATGGTCTTGGGTACAACAACATTATTGTCACCGCCTCGATACCAATCCTATCAGGAAAAATTTAAAATAACATTCGCACAAACAACCAAAATGAATATTTACCTTCAATGTCTCCATAACGAAAAATCGCATAGCTTGGTTTGAACCCTGCTTTACCATCGTTGCCGTAACTCCTTTGTAGATGCCCTAGAAGAAAATGTAAGCGTTTTGTCCAAAATCCCTTAAGGAATATAATTACCCCAATTCCATCGTCCTTAATGATACAACTAATACCATGGATAAACCCTCGAAACCGAGGTTTTTCTTGAGCTTGATCATGGATAAACTTGACCTTCACCGTCTCCATAGGAGTAACAGCAAACACTGCTTCGGACAAACCTAAAAGAAGAGTTTTAAAAAAGATATTGCACGCATTGGTTTACCAAACAGTCAATCCAATTGCAGGATCAACTGAGTGGTAAATGGGCAGAGGCGTATACTTACCGGCTCCTAAACCGCAAAATAGTCGCTGAAACGGTGTAAGATTTCCTCGATCATCTTTCACTTTTCCTTTAAGATACTCAAAGGTACCAAATCTGTAACAGATTTTTACATCGAAAATCCCTCAAGACATCAAATCTCGATATAGAAGATTGAAAAAGTTTATTCCCCAACTTAGTCCAGTAGTTTTCAAAAAAAAAACACATAGTATATTTCACAACGAGATTTAATCTATAGACAAAAAAAAAGAAAATACGAAAAGGAAATACTTGAGTAATGAGCTACTGTTGCGAATAACCACTAGTTCCGTGTATTTTAACTTAAAGTTAAACTTTTTTCTCAAAATCCAATGTTTAATGTTAAATTAACCAACCTGAATGCAGATTTCGGAATGGAACCATATATCAATATTGATAAGCCTCGATAAAGTCCAAATACGCCATGACCTTGCACAGTTTGTTTGACACAGTCAAAAATACCCTTCAAATGTGTTAGATTAAATTCCTAGCATGATGAGGTAAGCTCTCGATACCTTGAATTTTGGCTTTGCGGATCGTTCGTCGAGTTGGAGCTGTGTTTTGACATATTCAGTGGGGAACGTGATACAGATCTCAATACCTGTGTGCAAGGTTAAAGTTACTTTAGCGACGTATATAAAAATATGCGACTTGCTCTGCTCCACTATTGGGAGGGTACAATTTGAATGAGTGTGCTTTACCTCCAGTGATTCCTCCGATGACAGCGCCTCGAACAGTTGTTTCTGAAGGTCCAAACCGCCTCCACAGAGAGAGCGTGCCACTGAAAGTAGTGACATGTGTGTTATGCAATCTTAATAAATTTTCCTTCCACCGTAACCCAAAAAATTAATAGAGGCACCTAGTAATTCGTTACTTTTGCAAGACAACCACAAAGTTACTGAGATAACGCACCATCCTTACAGCGTTAAGGAACATCTAAAGGGGGTTGAAAAAGTCAAAATTCGCTACATCGCTAGGTTCACATCGTTTAGTTCAACACGACAACGCTGAGTTACAAGTTGGAGTGAAACTCTTGTCGTACGAGCCGAAATCCCTGCGCGCAAAACATTGAAAGCGTTTTGGATTAACAAATCTAAAAATGAATAGAAAGGAGGAGTGCATTGCTATCATTAGAGAGCATGCCCCTTATCAATCCCTTTGTGGATTCAAATATGATGTCAGGTAATCTCAGCACATATGAAAGAGTGAGGCAGTTTTGTTAATGTGGTCTCTTTTCTGTACACCTTTGTACTGTCATCTAAGGTGAGGATTGCTATCGTACTCTGATGGTGTTTTAACATTCTGT